AGGCTACTGAGTAATTATATGAAGAACATTTTTTGCATCCCGGTAATATTATTTGCAGCAAGTACCATTAAAGGGTAAATCAGAAGAAAAAATGCTTTCAAAATGACGGGAAAAGGTTAAAAAAAACGTATTAATAGAAATCGACGAAAAATGCAAAAAACAACAACAACATGATTTTGTCATAAACAGGGAGAGGTGGCTCAGTGCATGAACTGATGTCATTGCAGTGCCTCTGACCGGGAGGTTCTAGATTCTAGACTCGAGTTTCGACAGTGGCAAGATTTTCGACGCTTGTCTGGAAAAGAATTCTAGAAGCGGGCTGCTCCGATCGGTAGTTTTCCGTGGTTTCTCCGATCATCACCAAGCGAATGCCGGCGCAGTACCCTAACAAGCGGGTCACGGACCGCGCGCGGTCTTTCCTTCCTCTTCCTTATCCTATCCTCGCCTTACACCACATGGTTACGCTGTTGAACACGCGCATCAAGGCGACGGCGTTTGTAGAGGAACTCGGAGAGAAGAGACTGAGCGCACAGCTGCTCACCGAGCCGTCGGATTGCCAAGCGCCGGGTGGCAGGCGCCCTTCCTCCCCATTCCCACTCCCACTCCCACGCTCCGCTCCGCTCCGCCCATCCACGGCGTTTCTCAAACTCACCATCAACTTGACTCTCCCCACAACGTCATGTCGGGAGCGATGTACATTTAAAAATTATTTAAACCCTCAAGTTTACAACAAAAGTACATTTAAAAACACCAACAGATGCGTCAATACAAAATGCACTGTAATGAAACTAATGAAATCACTTAAACGTTTTCAAAAAGACCTTGCAATCATTGAACATCAGTTCAACCACTCGAGATTATTTCAATAACCATTTAATGAACCAATATTTTATTTGCTTTCGAAACGCTTAATTTATTATTTTATTTATTTATTATTTGCTTTCGAAACGCGAAATTTTATTTGCTTGCTTACGTTCTGTAAAACTGACTCTTGTTTTTCTCATTTGGATTTTGAAAACCTGTGCCGCACCAATCAAAGTTTAGAAATACTATTCTTCTAATAATTTTTCAATAGGATAGGATAAGTTGTGATATAGTGACGAATTCTGACTTCTGGTTACAAAAACCATAAACTGACCTCCTCGGATATATTGTAGTTGGCATTCATTGAGCATTTAATCAGCCATGTAGGCATTTTAAGAGAATAGCAAACAAACAAATACTCAGCTTGGCGCGACCTTCACTTCCTCATTCTTCTTACAGCACATGGCGTAAAATTAGCTCTGTTCTCCTTGGGCTTCATTGCCAGACTATACACAAATACTAGTGCACACACTAATTTTCCCATATATTTATTAAGTTTTACAGGCAGTATGGAGCATCCTGTTGACTGTTTTAAGTTATTGATATTTATTTAAATTCAAAAGAGAAATGATACCATGATAAACCTAGTTTATGCATTTCAGGCGAAAGTTATTTGCAATACGTGAAGTGGAATAGTAACCATTGGATTTCTGCGTTGGACTTGCTTTTACCCACTACAGTTACGATAACACATGAAGGACAAGATTTTTATCGTGCAATTCGTAATGGGAGAAAAGATTCAATTTATAGTCATAGATTGTACTACACTTTTTTCTTTGTCTATAATATACTGAATATAATAAAAATGTCTATAATACTGAGCTCTGTCTCTTTATATCTTCAGACACGTATACCTTTTAATGGCAGATCCAAACGTATATAAATCAAGCTATATATGCATGTTGAAACTCTGTATTATAAGTTACCTTTTGTTGGCTCATGCAGTGACACGGTGAACTAGAGCTAACATAATGGTACATGACTAGATGAAGAACGTTCACACTAATAAGTGTTTACGAACATTCATTTAAAGTGGTGACACTATTATTTAAAAATAAGCATATTACGTCACCGAAGAGCTGTCAGGAGTGTGAGTTATTGTTAAATGAGATAAATGTTGAAGGTAATGAGTCTAATGACAGACGACATTCACCAACCACACGACTGCAATTTCTTCTCTGACAGATTGCACATAAAAGTACACACCCGTGTTCAAAATAAAATTATCACGCGTTAAACTATAAAGCAAAGATAGTATTTCATCTGCGATTCAAGGAAATAGGGAAGCGAAGGAAGACGAAGAAATAACGAAGCGTCGCGAGCAGGAAGGGGAAGAGCCGAGGAGAAAGGGCGAAGAGCCAAAGAACCGGGAATGCCAGGGGAACCAGCAGGGGAGGGCCAAGTCGGGGCAACTCCTTCCCGGGGTGGCGGTGCGCCGGGTCTTTGTTTCAGGAAGCGGCCCAGCCAGCCAGCCAGCCAGCCAGNNNCGGCCCGGATGCGGACGTCCAACACGCGCGCGCGCTCGCTGGCGCCGCCGCGGTGGCCGTGATCAATACGCAACGCGGCACTAGGCCCACGCGCGCCGTCGGCGGTGCGTTTCACGCTGTCCGATGTCAACAGATACGACGGCAACGCCCCCTCCGCTTCGCACCACGCTGCTATAGGCCTCAACGCGCCTTCCTCCACGTTCAACATTTCTCTCTCTCTCTCTGTCTCTTTCCCTCTTTTCTTCGGCAAATAGCCAGGTGGCGATTGAAGGTCTTTCTTCAGGATAAGTTCGCTCTTAACAATATTCTTACATTTAATAGCAACAGAGGGTCATGCAAGCATTTTATTTGTCGTTATCAGTCATCTCATTTTCATTGCCATTTGTGGCAGAATATGTTTACACCAAAATAAAGCTAACACAGCATTTCAGCATTACTTGTCGATATCGGGATTGGGGACAAAGTGGTTTGTGGCCCAAGGACGCAAAAGGGCACAGAACAAACGATTATTCTCAGTTTTTCTCGAAATAAAAACTAATAAATACACTTAATAGCAGAGTTCGCGACATCGGCCGCAAAAAAATACATTAGAATATCTTATAAATATTACAAACCCGATCCATATGTGTACATCACATGCTTTACATTCACCATCAAGTTTTCGTACATATCAAGTAGCAAATGTAAAGAATTCTAAAGAAATAAAATTGTGCGCTTTAGACGATAAAATACTAATTAATATATTAGTTCAAAACCAAAGTAGAATGCCCATATGGAGGCCTGAAGCACAACGAGAAACACTCAGATAACCTATCCTGAACACACAGGGACAACCAAAACAGTACTCCTCGGCGCACGTTTTCGAGACCTCCACGAACTGCTAAGCTCACATTTTCCTCATTTGCACATTTTAACATCTACAGCCATGTATTGGTTTCGTTAACAAAAGCAATATAGTCTTCTTACAGGTTGTAAGCAAAGCAGAGTGTTAAACCAAAAAACGGATGATTTAGAAGTATTTCTAAGAACGCAGATAATCTCACTTCTACATAAAATAACACAAAGATTTATATAGGAAGAAAGACAATACAACAATATCACAAGACACATTCGTCGTAAGTAAACGCGGTCACTGAACTAGATTTGTCTACGACCCTGACACTGCCATTGCCCCCAACAGTAGTGTCAAACTTAAAAATCTTTTATAAAAAATGAATTAACAGAATACTCACCCCTGTCGCTTCCTTCCATTGCACCGTCGATATTCCAAATTTACAAGTAGAAGCCAGATCAATAGCGAAATTCACACAATAACACTAATTGTACATATTTCAACCCACTTTCTTTCTAGCAAACATGGCCGGATCTCAATCATAATACCACGGGGTCGTTGAACTGCAACTATTATTAACACAACGAATGAAAATCAATAATAGTAATTCTAAAAACAAGATAGAATTTTATTATACGGCACTATTAAAATTTACGGAACTAAATTTATCACAATCCTAAAAATTCATTTAAATTGTGACTTCAGTGGTTTCAGTGAAGAGTTTATATATCCTCCATGACTATTGAACCTGATTCAACCTATGGTCCTATGGTCCTTGATGAAACTAAAATGTCCTAATGTTAGATGCTGAAAATGTCTACCACATCTGATCAACACAAGTATTGTTTACTCGTTCTTATTCTCCACATTGTTGACATTACCGAATATGTTCTAATAAAATTACAAGGATTAGTTATATCAATTTTCAAGGATAGATTCTGGATATACCAGGGGTAGACCTGCATTGCTGTCGATATGCATAAGGTGTTAGAGAATTGTAATTTTATAAAAATAACTGTATGTTCAATAAGAAATGGAACTCATCATTATACATCAATTCTTTCTTGAAAACAAAGCATATGAAGAAGAGGTTAATGTTCATTGACCTAGGGCGATTCACATTTGAGGCACTGGGAACAAATTAGTTTCACTACTAACACTTAACCCACCAGATTCCAATTCTCGCAGAGGATATTATTTCTAGCAGGCCTACAATTTAAACGCAAGCATATTTTCAGAGCCAGAATGTCAGCTGCGAATATTTTGTTAAACGATATAGCAAGCAATGACATCTATTGTAAGCGTAAAGAATTATTGTTTGAATGTTCGTGATGGACAGTAATGGTTAAGGGCTGGGTTTGAACGAAATTGTAATTACAATAAAACAATGGAACTTTACATTCCGATCTATGTAATACATACACTTAAATAATTTTAAATTAGCATTTGACATTTTTTTCTACGGTAAGTAGGTTTTAGAACCGAGGTGAATGTAATCATTTTATGAATATAGGTGATTTGAGGTTATGTTCTACCAAATGAAATATTTCCAATATTTTTTTTCTTTCAGATAGCAGACGTTCAGACCATCATCTTTTCATTTAATAACTTATTTTAATTCTGTGATTCGAAGGAATGAAGATCTGCAGATGACATCTCGAAATAGGTTAAGTTTGATCTCACAATTATTATATTCGTAAGAACATAAAAGATGTTGGCAAATCAAGTGCACATATCTTCGAGACAAAAGTTCTTTTTTTGGTGGCTGTCAAACCTCGCGAAGACTAAAGTGTGCTTTTTTTTGTTTTGTTTTTCAGGTACCGGCATTCGACTTGCAGCCACATATGATTGAAACAACGATATGATAATCATGTCTGATTGGATAAAGCTTTTCAAGAGATGTGTTAAGCGCAACTTTAGAATGACAGCCTTACAATTGCAATACTTCTTCCCCGCTATTCGAAAGAAGCACATAATTCTATTTCTTATTCTGTTTGTTATTCTGCATTTCTTTGGAGCGTTTACACATATTTTTGAAGAAGACTTCTTCGAAAACTTTCAATACCCTTTGGAAGGTGATATTCGTGTTTATGTAGAACAAATGAAAAATCATGAAAAACCTAGTGTACAACCAATCAATGAATACAATTATCCATTCTTATCTACTTGTGAGGAAAAATGTAAGCTGGGACATGGTGAGAAATTGCGCTTAGTATACATTGTTAAATCAGCGATAAATCACTTTGACAGAAGACGTGCCATAAGGAATACGTGGGGTTATGAAAAGCGTTTTTCTGATGTTCCAATAAGAACTGTTTTTATATTAGGAAAGAATGATGATGTTGAACTACAAAGGAGAATTGAAGAAGAACAAAAGCATTACAGAGATATTGTGCAAGCTGATTTTGTTGATACTTATTTCAATAACACTATAAAAACAATGATAGGTTTTAAGTGGGCAATGTTATATTGTACAAATTCTAAATTTTATATGTTCAGTGATGATGATATGTATGTTTCTACCAAAAACGTATTACGATTTGTTAGAAATCCCACTCACTATCCACAATATATGATAGATCCTAATTTAATACATGATCCACGAATACCAGACAGGCTGGTTGCCCAACATATAACTATTGCAAGCTATCCCAAGACTCCTACACTTAATAACAGAAATATTCCTAACTTGATGGATTTTGAATTACCAGATGATGTTGAATTATTTACAGGATTTGTATTTTTCTCTGCACCACATAGACATTATAGTAGTAAATGGTATATTTCTCTTTCAGAATATCCTTACCATATGTGGCCTCCATATGTTACTGCTGGTGCTTACATTCTTTCATCCAATGCTTTGGAAAACATGTATTATGCTAGTTATTTTACCAAGCACTTTAGGTTTGACGATGTGTACCTAGGAATACTTGCAAAGAAAATGGGCATTGAACCTTACCATTGCAATGAATTTTACTTTTATAAAAAGGAATATAAAATTTATCAGTATCGCTACGTGATAGCATCTCATGGATATCATAATCCAGAGGAACTTATCCATGTATGGAATGAAATGAAGAGTGCTGGCTATGCATAAACCAAAAAACTTCAGGCAGTTTTACTTTTTTATCAATAAGGAAGGACCAATTTTGTTCACTTATGTATAATGTAAATATTCTTAATACACATTGGAATAAATTTTGTATTGTTAATTAAGCTCTTGTTCATTATTCTGCTCTTGTTTACCAATTTAGTCAGATTTGTTATTGTAATGTGAGAAAATTAGCTCATGATTTAATAGGCTTAGAAGTGCCATTCTCTGGGTTCAAATCTCATGCGAAGACATGATATTCTCACCAGGGGAATGAAATAGAAAATTCTGTGTTCTCAACCATGTATTAATTAAATTCATGTAATTATCAATAAGACACATAATCTGTTATTAACAGACTCTCCTATGGAGGAAAGAAAAAGTCTTCAAACTAGAAAACAAACCGTCAATGCCGGCCTGGATGGCCGAGATCGCTAAGGCAGTACTGCTGTAGCGATCTCAGTCCGAAGGATCGCGGGTTCGAGTCCTGCATCGGGTATGGTTGTATTGGGCTCGTCCTTTCACACCCCTATCATCATATGATGTCATCCTCATAGTTACCATACCATTACATGCAATAGTGGTCGCTAATGACCTAGTAGTTGATGCGACCTTAAATAAAAAAACATCAATAGTAAAATATAAAATCTGAATCATCATGCACTGCTGTACAGCCCAAATAGTATTTGGTAGATATTAGGTAAACAACATTGAGTACGACTATACCCACTAAAAAATGAGAGCCAAAAACCATGTACTCATCTTCCTTAGGATTTCAATGCTAATTATTTTAAATATTAAATTTCTAAATTCTAATTATTTAGAATTTGAATCTATATTTGATTGTTTATTTTTTTTTTCAGTTGCATAACCTTTCTATCTATAAATGTTGTAATTTGTGATTACAGAAACTTATGCATTGTTCACGTTTCTCAGTGGTAATTTTTCATATGCAGATGACTGCTTAACAGATTCTCATATGAAGTGTATTCATTTTGATGTTAACAGTTTAAAATTTTTACTTAATGACAAAGTTGTAAAGTTTTAACATCAACATATTTCCAGACTTTAAATTCAATCAATGAATTAATTTTCTTTTTTAATCTAAGTTTTAAAGAATTTGAATTGTTTCATGTTGCGCAAATGAAATAAACTCCACTGCCCGACTTTACTCCATCTTACATAAGTAATTTGATGATCGTGATTCTTTATTGGTTATTTCAGTTATCTTCTGATGGAAAGCAACTTTTGGTGAAGTATTTATACTCCATTTTCAATTTTGTGATTGATACCCTTACCTAAAGGGAAATCCTTGATACACTTATCGAAAGGGAAAATTCTCTTTTGATGGTACTCTTCAAATTGAAATGGAATACAACTATCAAAATAGATATTAAGTTGTAATTGTAAATTAAAACTGGATTAAAGAATTGTTCACCTGAACAAAGGCCACAAAAGATGATCAGAGCTCCCAAAGAAAGGGCAAGAGAACTGGCATATGAAACCATTTGATTACAATAAGCAAGAGTTTTTCCCAACTGTAATCTTGTGTTTAAATTTGAAAAATTGTATTCCAATATATAAATGAAATTTTAATCACATTTCAATTAAGTTTCTGTTATTTAACTCAGGAAGTGGATGGAGAGATGTCACAATAAAATTTATTGGGGAAGGGACAAGTATTAAAAACAGTCATGAAAAGAGGCGTAAAATAATTATTTTTTCAAACTTCTTTTTAACAGTAAATGTATTATATCTTATATTTTTTAATTCTAATTGACGTCCTATTTTTTAATGGATTTTGTTGTCATACTAACACGATATTGGTGCAGTGTTAGCCTCACGCTCGTTTGCGCTGCTGAGATCCTTAGTAGCATACACAGCTGCCTCAAAACACTAGCAACACTCAGAACTAGATTAGATTTGGGAAGGATAGGTGGATGGAGTCATATCATGGTTTATAGAGCCACTGACAGCACTTCTGCTCACTGACTGCTGGCGGATCAACTCCTACCATGATGACACCTACTTCTAACCAGAGCAGGGGAGGGATGGAAAGAAAAGGTTATTGTTTTAACTGATACATTATAGTAAGGAAATATCCTGAATATGGCAGCTAACTACTAGCAGAAGCTAACATCCATGTCCGAGGCAGGATTTGAACCTGCAGCCCTTTGAGTCGAGAAGTGAAAGACATCCATCTGAGTTATCTCAACTCATAATAATATCAATATCAGCTTGTTTGCCATACAATTGTAGGGTTTGGTTGTGTGGGTGTGTATTTTGTTGTTTTCTTGACAGGCAGGGTAGAGACAGGTTTTGATGCAAAACAATATTAAAAAATGCATAAATATATTTGAAGTTAAAACTACAGTACTTAAAACTAGGAGTCATTGCAACTGAAAATTTTGAACAACAGAATATAAAGGCACGACAACAAGAAGACATTTGTAGTTTGCATCATTCAGTTGTTGACTCCAAGCATGCTGATTCACGTTTCACCATTGTCAAAAGAACTTGGGAGCTTTCTAATATCTGAAACAAATATTCACATAGATGACATTTACTAAATTGAATAAATATATTAATATTATTATACGAAATTACTTTTGTGTAAGCAGCTTCGGCTTCCTCAATTGTACGGTCATAGTCTTGTTTCACAGCTATATTTTTGCTCAGCGATTCAACAATTGAATTTAATTTGGCTGATAATCTTTCCAGCTCCTTTTCTGCTTCTATTTTTTCTTCTTGCTGAGTGGATATAATTTCTTCCAGAGATCGCCTTTTTCTTTTCAGTTCTTCAATGCCTACAATGGAGAAACTGTTTCGTTGAATGTTAACTTAATGTTTTTATTATTATTAAAAAGTTATTTCATGCTAATGTCTTATTAAAAATTATAAACATTTGTAAGTCTTGGCATTCCATTCAAGTATTAACCAATTAGGGAAAGAAAAGAAAATGCATTACATAAAACAATGCTATAATACATATTTTAAAACGACAAAATTTAACGAACATTACATACATTTCACAAGTTCCTGGTTATAAGTTTGTAATATTGCACCTTGTTGAGCCATTTCTGTTGAGAGAAATTAATTGTCATGAAAAAGGGAGCAAAAGTTAATTTGATTTGCTTTTGCATAATACAAACCATTAACAGACATTGAATATTCAAAATCACTCGTTTTTTTGTGAATGACCATTAGCTGGTCCAAGGACCAAGCTCGCTCCCTCACACTGTCATGTAAAAATGTAAATTTAAAATTCACTAGCTACTGATGGGTTAATTCACTGCTCGCGCCGTTGAAATGTGCTTTATTCGCTTTATGCACGCTCTTTGTCCGCCTATTCTTCGTCCTCTACCTTTTGGATCTTGTAAATACATTTTCTGTGACTTGTAATCTCGGTGGCGTGGTCCTGTCTCTCTCTCTCCCCTCTCCCTCACAGTCTCCACCGTTTATTCTTTAATTTCTGTTCTGACCATGTGCGCGCTTTCCATGTGGTGAAAGAAACATTTTATTGCTTGTTACGACTAATGTTGACGTTTGTTAATGAATGAAAGGTAATTATCGAAATCGATAAAGTTATACCAGTTATTTAAACATGGTGAGGATATCAGAAGTTGAGGAGGAAGAACATGTTTTGAAACCTACGAGTAACGAATTCAATGCATCTGAAAGCTCCTGTGCAAAAATTAATAAGAATGAAGGAATTGTTGCTCTTGGGGATTCTCCGCTGAAAAACGATGATAATGTAGACAATGATGAGGAGGAGGAGAACGACGACGACGACGACGATCATGATGATGATAATAGTGTTGAGGATTCATCAGAAGAAATAGACACAAGTAATGAAGATGCAATGGAAGAAAATGGTGATGGTGATAGTTATTACAGTGATAATGAAGAAAGTGAACAAATTAAACCTACAGGAATGGATATTGTTAAAAATGTTTTGGAAAGAGCCGCTAAAGAAGCAGAAAAAAATGAATTGATATCAGTAGCTAAACCTTTGGATTTGGAGTATGATCTTGGGACATTATTGGCCATAGACACAAATGAAATGGATAGTGATTTATTGAGGTATGTTGAAAATACTCTGCTGATAGAAATGAAATCATTTACCTTACAGTTATCAGGATATTAAAAAAGAAAATTTCATCCCTTAACTGGTGAAATGCAGTCTCTGAGACCAGTGATGAAAAATAAATTTGTAGCTCTCTTGTTGCTTGGAGTTTTGCTTATATACATACTAATTTCATTCTGAACAGTACTAACATTGAGGTGGCATTTATTCACTCATTAGTTTCGGATAGATCTTGCAGAATGCACATTACAATTAAAACTTTTCGCACAGGGACTTGCCACAGCAAAGATGTCTGGATGAGCTGGACATTCTTGTGGTGTGTTTGCTAAAGGTAGGTCTTTCGAAGGCACAGTTAATTAGGGGAAGAGAAATTGCTAGTAGTATTGACAGTGATGTGAACAGTGATTTTTGCCCTTGAAAGTGAACTCAATGGATACTGATGATAAAGTGCTTAACACATTAGAAGATGAGTAAAAAGAGAACTAGAAAAAATAGCAATGGAGGAGAAAGAAAGAGAAAATGAGAGAAGTACGGCAATTTTGTAGGAAATGATATATCTAGGGAAGAAACACACAAATGATATGTACAAGAGCTGTCAAGAAAGCCTAAACAATACATTGCACTTTTGTTTAAATACAGTTTAAAAGGGATATCACACATGTAGTTCAAAAAATGTGTGATAAATAATTTTATTATTTTCTGTTTATAAATTAAGTACTTCTTGTATTTTCTTTGTTATTTTAACACTGTTAATAAGAGAAAAATTAAGTGAACATGAAATGACGCACTGGAAATTATCTAAAATACTCTAGTTTTGGAGACTGCACATCACCAGTTAATATTTCACCACTTCTATTGTATTATACATGTAACCAGGGGTGGTTTTTTCTTTTCTTTTTCCTTACCTCATCAATGTTGATGTATCAATGTGACACGATTGCTGTGCACATAGGTATATCTTCAGAACACAAATTCCAGGTGGTGCTCATGTTAAAAGAATTTGTGTTCTCTGATTATTATATATCTTTATACTGTTTCCTTGGCAGGACTCAAACTTTGTTTGTTAGTATGAAATTGGTTTTATGCAAGTACATGTTAATGAGGATTTCTTGTATAAAATTCATAGTTATTTTCTTTTGTTCCCATTTCATTTTTAATGTTTTGTGTAAGAAAAGACTATTTTTTTTAACAAATTCATGACAAGATCTCGGTCTTATTTTGCTTTGCTTTCAACTAAATTTTTGTACGATTGAGCCACCAATCATGTAATGATTGAATTTTGTGTAAATTATATTGTAACTTCAAAAAGTAAACTGGCATGTCAAAAATGCTTCAGCTGATATTTCTTTAAAGGAAAAAATATTGATTTATTGTTTTGTATAATGGCATGTGAAATAGTTAAATTTTGATAGTGTAGTTTTCTATGTAGACTGCTTTTGTGTATTTATTGTTATCACTATTGTAAGCTTAAATATCTTAAATAATGATCACACCATATGAAACTAGTTTATAATTAAATTAATTCTATTGTTAATTTCTGTACATCTGAGCATTGGACTATACAAATTCTTCAGTTACTGTGAATTTGAGAAAATTGATCTTTTTCCCAAATGTGTGCCTAATTTCTAAAAGAATGTTATGTTTGCAGAGACTCAACTGAAGAGTACTTAAAAAATCTTGCCAGAGATAATACTCAGTTACTTGTCAATCACATATGGGAATTACCAATTACAAGAAAGGAAAATGAAATAGTTGCAAAACTTCCTCCTCCATCATTCAGATTGCCAAGAGAAAAACCAGCCCCAAAACCTAAACCTTTGACAAAGTGGCAGCAGTTTGCTCTTGAGAAAGGTATTCAGAAGAAGAAAAGACCAAAGGTACAATGGGATGAAACTCTGCAGGTAATTCATAGTTATTTAAAAATTTCTGTTATTAATTGTCTTCATTACACTAATTGTGAAGCAAATGTGTAAACATAGTTTTTCCTTGAAATTATAGAATTTGAAAGCTTGGTTAATTATATACACTGTCTAGTTATCAATATTTTTGATAGGTCCTAAAATTACATCGCTGCAAAATATATTCTTCCACCAGCCAGATGAGCTGTTGTGAGAATTAATTTAAATCATTTCAGAAAGCAAATTGAAAATGTGAATTGTTTTCAAATAAATAAATGATACATTTCAATATTGGTGCTAAGATCTTCTGTTAGGCTGTGCTATGACAGCCAGTTGCCGAATTCTGGCTACTGGACATGGGTTGGGCTGAGGTGACTTCAAGCTGTTGTATACAGTTTTTTCCAATTTCACTGTACATACTACCTTTATATAATAGTTATCTTCAACAACATTCTATCATTGTAAAAAAATATTTTTTTTTGGAGCTTCCTCTATTGTCAGAATGACAACAGGGATTATCACAGCCCCATATAAAGTTTGCAACAAGTGCAAGTCTTTTGACAATTTACAAAGTGACTACCTCATTTAATATGATTTGGCATAAATAGGAGTCCAAATAATTAGTCACATGAGTGTATGAACTGTAAAGAACTAATTATTATTAGTTCTTTACGGTTTATTTAACTTGATAATTCATTAAATAAATTCATTTTAATTATAGTTAAAATTTCTGCTAAAGACTGTTCTTCAGTAGATAATCTGAAACTGTGTGTAAAACGTTAAATTCCTCTGGATTCATGTAGTGAATCATCAGAATTGTTTTGGTTTAAAATTTAGTGTAATAATGAAATCAGTAGTGCTAATATAATATTATGTTATCATGTTTTGTGAATGTTCATTCACATAATGTTGGAAATTATTATTATGCATTATCATTGAAATTTGTGAATTTATTTAGAAATGGATTCCTTGGTGGGGATACAAAAGAACAAAAGCTGAACGGGAGAAGAATTGGGTGATTGAAGCCAAGCAAAATGAAGACCCAATGGAAGATCCCTTTGCAAAAAGAACAGAAGCAAAGCAAGAGAGAGTAGCAAAAAATGAACTTCAAAGAATGCGAAATTTGGCCAGGGCTAATAATGTGAAAATCCCAAGGGAAGATACATTGGGTGAAGGGAAGAAAGGAAAAAATAAAAAAGGACAACCAAAATTGAACAAAAAAGGTGAACCTGTGCCAAGAATGGGTTTACTTACTCCTGACAAGATGAATAGTTCTCAGGTAAGAAAAATAATACCGCTTACAGTCAGTTTCATTTAGTAGTGCGAATTAATTGTGAAGAATGTGTATTTAAATTATTTTTGTTGTTGTATTTGTATTTTTCAAAACTGGTTAAATATAAAGAAAATCATGCTGCCAATATCTCACAGAATTGTTCTGTGACACTCGTTAATTTGTTGTTTCATTTTTCACTCTGTGGATCATCAGTATGAAGTAATTGATGTATTGTCCGTTTGTTTTGGCATCAGAGAATGTTATCTGGTTGTAATCTAGATAACTCTCAAAATAAGCTGGTTAATATTCAGATTATGTAACACAAAATGTAGGGTGGATAAAATCTAATGTAGTGGGACCAGCTTTGAAGCACACTTCAGGCTTTTGCCAGATGACTCCAGGTCACTTGGATAGGTTAAGTAAGTTATGGTGACAAAGAGTATCGGATAAGCAATAAACAGTGAGCAGACAGCTGATCGGAACATTCTAAGGCTGATCAGAAAAAGTGTGCAGTTTCAAGTGTCACACTATTGGTTGTACATTTCTATTCATACAAAACACCTAAACCAACCATATCTATGTATTCCGGTTGATACTTCAAGTTTCCAAGTTGGTAATGAGGCTTAAGTTTTCAGCCTTTTCAATGTCCATAAAACAACCGTGAGTCTGTGCATCACATGATTTCCAATGCATGTTTATGCCAAAATATCTCTTGCAAATACACAAAACACCTTGCAGTAGATATTCAATCTTACTTCAGCCTGTACCCTGTGCCTAATAACGACATTCAACAACTGGATGAAGTCCAAAATGACCATCCTACAGCTGTGTTCATACTATCTGTCAAGTTAAACCTTTGCCATATTTCAGACTAACCTTGACTTTTCATTAAATACATTCTATAAAATAATTCAGTATGTAGTTTAAACATACAAATAAATAATTCAGTAGCAGTGTATCAGTAAGGATATAAACATATGTACAGTATTCAAATGACAATTCAGAATTTATTCTTTTAATGTAACTTCATTTGACTATATGGATGGAAAGTAGTTGCTTTTTGTATTTTCAAAGTGCAGCTAAAGAATCAGTACAGTGGGAATCACTATAGTAAAATCTGAATGTTGCCAAGACAAAATCCTCAAGCATTGTTTGGTATCTTGTAATATTTGTGATACGAGTTGATGATATTTAGATTTCTTTTAAATTGTGACCTTTGACGATTTGTGTTTAAACAGTTAAAACAAGCAGTGGCTGTGAGTAAATTTTCAACGGCGTCGGTTGGAAAATTTCAATCACGATTACCCAAAGAAAAAGAACGGAGTGTTGGTGCATTATTGCCTATTGCAAAAAAGCGAAGAGCACCATTTTTAAAACCAGAGGAGGAGAGAAAAGCGAATCTAGATATTATTGATAACATCCTAAAGAAAAGGCCAAAATTGGATTTGGAAAAAGCGGTTAATAGGCATATAAATCAAGAAGAGAAACAGTAAGTTGGCATTATGTTGTATTCAATTTATTTGTGTAATCGGAATTTTACATTTTTGTATTTCTTTTATTAGGAGGGCAGAAGAAAAATCACAGAAACCAAAAGGTAAAGGGCGAGAAAAAGCACGAGGTAAAGGAAAAGGCAACCGCAAAGGAAAAGGATTAGGAAAAGTTAAAATGAGTGGTAAAGGAGGCAAAGGAGGTGGGAAGCAAAAGAGAGGTAAAAAGCGTTGAAATTGTTGTAAATGTAACTATAAATAAAACTTATTACACGTTTCTCTGTGTGTGTGTTTTTTTACTTCTGTCCATTTGCCTATGTAGAAAATGTTACACAATCAAATGGATGTGTAGTATCATTTATGAAATTATGAAACCAATGAAATGAATTTTGGAAAAATGAGGGTGTAGGCTTGCATGGCCATGCCTTTTAGTGAGATGTCAAAGGACAGTTAGCTTCTCAAAGTATGAGGCTGTAATGTTATTTTTATTAAACATTTTCAACTGATGTTGACTACTACTACTATATACTTCTGAAAAGTATATAGTAGTAGTATAAAGTATGCTATATGTTTGGCATGTTTGATAAGCATTTAAATTGTCAACACATCATTAGACCCTCTGTGAGATAATGCACAGGGGAAAATAGCAGGTCATACTGTGGGCAGGATTCAAATTTAGACCCTTTTAATCAATATGAAAATACAATATATATTGTAGCTGTATGAACAAATCAGGAAATTTCATGCTTCGGGAGATCTTTTTTTTGGTATTGACAGCTAACAACCACATCAGAAAGGTCGTCAAATGCACAAGCTCCCATGTAGCTGCAAGATTGATACCTTCTTCAAAAATATTAATCGCTGTTTATGAAGCCAAAAAAAGCGGGGGTTGTCTTATATTCACTGATTCAGCCTAATTGGTTAGGGTTTAAGTTTTTACATTGTCATTCCATGCCCAAAACTCGCAAATGTTGACGTAACAATAAACTGTGATAAAAATATTGTGCGTTATCTAGAATATGTAATTATATTCATAGTCCTATTCTTGGCATCCATCGAATTTGCTGGGCGATTAAACCCGTATTTTTTAATGTGCTGGTAAAGAGAGAATGGTATTGTATCAAATGAAACATAACGTGACTATGAATGCCATTTGTTATACAATGCATGTCAGACAAAGCTGCAAGGGATCTCTGTTCAACATCCGGTGAGTGCGAATCTGAGTTCTGAACAGTTAAGTAAAGATGCTATCAAGTGCAGGGCAGATATAAAATAGTGACACAGAAGGGATTGTTATTAGGTGTCTAATGAAATGCTAAGAAGTGCAAATTCAATGCCCAAAAGTTTCAGAGAGGTTAAAACTTGGCCACAGCATGGACGGAAGACCAAAAGGAAAGAAAAACATTCATGTGAAGATGAGGAGGCAGGCATGGATCTACAGGAATGGAAATTTCCTCCCCCTAAAATTTCAGTAACTATTAATTTTAAGTTGTAATAAAACTCAAGAAAAAATATTTTCGGATAATCATTAAAATGAATAAAATCATATCACAGCATGAGCTAAGTGTAGCCTGCAACATTTAACTTAATCTGCAATATGTATGACATTTCTACCAAAACATTTTGAATTTCCCCTCCCAAAATCAGTCTCTGGATTTGCCCCCTGGATGAGGGTAGTGCCAAAAAACATGATTGTGATGTCTTAATGTTCTCATCAAGGCAATTTTCTAGTCAGTAAGACAATTTGCATTTTTGTTTCACCTAAATAGTAAGAATTAGTTAAAATCTAAAACATTCTCAGGAGGCCTCTTCAAAATTAGAGGGTGGTCTTATATTCAGGTAAATACAGTATATTCGTTTGTAATTGTTCTAAAAGCTTCAAGGTACTCGAAATGTCCTGCATGGACCCATTTTATTAACGTTATTTCTTTAAGCTTCTGAAAATTCATGAAATGGAACAAGGTTATTAAACTATTTAGGTTTTACATAAGGCATGGCACCTATGGCTGTAGTTATGTTGAATGTCATTGACATTTGGCAATAGGAATACTTCCATAAATGTGTAATTCAGAAGATAATATATTGTGCAAAATACATGAAGTACTTCCCTTTTAATTTTTGCAAAATAAAAAATAGCACTGTTTCAAAGCTGCATGGTTATAAATTTCCATTCAATTGAAGTAAGAAACCAATGGTTGAATCATTGGCCATTTAATTTTTTTCAACGGGAAAGTGTCTGTGGTAACCAGTATTGCTGAAAGGGTATTGTACTTAGCTGTTTTATTACATACACAGGACTCATGTTAAGGCTCACATTTTTTTCCTCTCAAAAATTATTGTAAACTTTTTTCAGTACTTCGAAGAAATTTCTTTCAATAGTAAAATAGAAATTAGAGAACTTTTAGAAATTGCTACAAAAGCATATATTGAAATTAGATATACAGTAGAAAACATCTTAATAGATTAATGACATTAATTAATGAATTTTTCATTGGATTTGGAACTTGTGGCATACCTTGCTTGTATGTGTTAACTTAAAAGTATACCAGCATGCTATGCCTATGGAAAGCTATACTCCCAGTTGAGAATGTATTGATAATACAAACATCACAGTACAGTCTATTCAATTAACCAATCATTGTAACAATACAACAGAGGTACTGTAGTTTAATTTCTTACAATCTCGTGCACTTTGTTGTATTTAACAAAATCATTTATATGTGCTTGTAAAAGAAATTTTAGAGCTATACACACAAAATTGCAAACTTGCTGATTTATACATATAAATTATATATATTTCATTAAATATGAAAATGATATCAGACAATACAGTACATAAATACGAAAAATGTGGACAATATTATTTATATAAAACATTCACTCATGAATGAAACAAGGTGGGTACTGGATACATTGTTGACAAACCCGCTAGTGAAAATCTTCATCGCTGCTAAAATCACTATTGTCAGATATCTCACTCATTGGTGGGGATTCATCTAGTTGTTCCTTGGAGGTGAGTCCTGCCAGTCTGAAAAATAAGCAAGAACGAACGATTGTCAATAATGTCAAAATAATACCTACCCCTCCCCTTCCTTCCTGAGAATTCATGAAAATAATTAACTAGGTTCTTATAATTTACATAGTAAAATGTTTATTCAACTTCAGTTCTTAGGGGTCAACTCTCTTGAACTGTCCAATGTACATTTCTCTTACATTTTCTTAATTTTTCGGTTACCTAATACAACAAAAATACTGGATATTAAAGAACAGTAAAACCTCATCCAAAATGGCAATTTCCTTTCAAGAATTTGGAGCCATTTAAAAAGAAATAGCATTTAAACGCTTCTGTAAATTCTAAATTTGAAGCTCTTACAGGAAATTGCATATTAACAGCATAAGGGATCTTTCAAAAAAATTACATTTGTGTAATTTTTGGAAAAACAAAATACCCCAAAATTAACATTATTAAAAGGTGCAATTACCACTATCTGTTGGAAAAGTTTGAAGAAGAAATTTGGAGCTAGTTTTTGAAACAATGGTGTGTGAGTGTTTCTCAAAATGAGGAATTTTGAGTAATTTTCACAGAAAACAGTTGAGCTTTTGAGAAACTTTATGAAATTATTTAAAGCACATGTACTCATAAATATAATAATGTGAACAAACTGGCACGAAAATAAATATTAACAACGGAGAGAAGTCAAAGAATTTACAATTTTTGAAAAAACTACGTAGTAGAGGAATATGGCGTTTATGTCATTTTACAGAGTGAATTTACCACTATCCCTAACAAAAGTTTAAAGAAAAAATTTGGAGACTTTTTGAGGAAATGTGTTTTTGTAATTTTATAAAATTGCACATATGGCGCGAAAACTACTAAAAAAAATGTGAACTACTCAAAAAAATGTACTTGACAATGAATGAACTCGCTATGGAAAACAAATTTTATTTGGAGGAAAAATTTATCAATTTAATTGTTGGAAGACGCTCAAAAATTTTGAAATTTTCGAAAATTCAGAGTTAAACTTGAAAATGGGAGCTTTATAAATGTATACCTGCCACCTTTGTAAATGTATTTTACTCTATTCTTACAAGAAATTGAAAGAAAAAATTTGGAGCCATTTTTGAAAATGTCCGGGGGGCTTCATTTAAAGTACCGGCAAATTTGAAAGATGTTTTTGAAAATGTCAAAGCTTCGGCTTGCACCAGATAGACAGGGGTTTCTTCAATTCTGAAGAGAAAAAGAAAACCACGCATGGTTCACGCGCTAGTGGTATTCACAGACGGTAAAACTGACACGTTCGTTTCGAAAAGAAAAAAAACCTTTAGGTATCAGTGGTTCCTAAAACGTTTATTTCCGTACAATTACATAACTTTCCCTATACTACGTACATTACTCCGTATGTATATGGGAAAGTAAAAATTTACAATCGATTTCTCAACGAACACCAATGCTTTTCAGTGTAGTTGCCAAGTCCATGACTGCGCAGCAATTTGAGGAAGCTCTGCTTCCTCGCGGAGACAAATCTTGTACCTCTCTATGTTTATGTGGAACAAACGGTTGGTAATTAGAGGTGACAAGGTGGGATTTGACTTCTTCTTCAAGCAACAGAACTTTCGTCCCGTTGCGTCTTCTCATTGGTTCATCCATCTTCTCTTCGGTCTTCCAGCGTTCCTAATTCTCATTGGCTTATATTTTAGAATCTGTTTCGGTATTCACGCGTTCTCCATTCTATCAATGTGGTCTCTCTATCCTTTTCTGTATTCGTCAATTTTTCCATTTAGATTATAAATTGCTAGGTAGTTACGTATCTCTTCATTACGAATTCTGCCTTTCCTTGTGACACCAATACAACTCCTTAATAACTTCATCTCGACAGTCAGAATCCTACTTCTAATTTTTGTATCCATGGTCCAGATTTGACATCCATATAACCCACAAGGAACTACTAAGGTTTTCTAAAATTTAATGATTGTACATTTTCTGACTTTACCTTTTAGTGCCCTCCTTTTAGTCCCACACATTGTTACATTTTTCAATTTTCTTAGCTGCAAACATTTTTCTATTATAAGACATCTCCTTTCGTGATCTGCAGTTCGCTCTTTAAGTGTCTTCATTATCCGATATCAAAACTTAGTCGTCCGCAAACAGATGTGTATTTTTTTTAATATTAAAATTATCTCTAAAATTTAAAAACTTCATCTTCTGCTTCCATATTCTGGTTGCATCGTCAAGATAAATATTAAAAAGTGTAGGTGACATGCAGCACCCTTTCCTTACTCCTTTATTTATAAAACTTCTTTGAGTAATTGTTTCGAATAACTTGGATTAGATGTTTTGGTATGCCTCTTCTGGCCGTAATTGACAATTTTCCTCTCAGAACGATGTCAAAAGTTTTTACTTCATCTATGATGACCATTCATGTTTGTAGATTGAATTCTAGCTCTGGCACTTAAAAATCAATATATTTTAACGAGCTTGGGTAGTGGTATGTAAATGTGCGCTGGCTTGCAAAAAAATGTCGACAATCCGTGTCGGCTTTCTCGGTTGTAGCACTAGACTAACGTACATTTATGAATTGCCACTTCATCAACATCATCACTCATCGGTTTTTCAGAATCGCGGCGCGGTTTTGCTCAATACTGAGATTAGTAGTGGATGAGGTTGTAAATACTTCCTGCATGCTTGTTTGTTTTTGAATGGATCAATCCACCAGTTAACACTTCGCCAAGGAAAAATATTTAACCACATCGTACTGAAAGTCTAAGGAATTCAGATTTTAGTACACATTCAAATAACAAAAGCAGTTTACGAAAGCACGTTCTTTTTTTTTTTGGAGGGGGGGAGCAAACGGAGAGTGGCGAAGCCATGTTTATGTCGCAACAGATCAAGCGAACATTAGGCTAAAACTTACCACGAGTAAAGTGAACGAAGCCTTCTTGGAGGGCTGGTAAGTGTCCAAACTGTACAGACAACATAAAGACGATTAGAATGAAAGTGCAGATACTTCTTGACTTTCCCTTGCGCAGCGACACGAGTGCCGCCTACACCGCTTCATCTGAACGGCTTCTTTCCGCCCAGAGCTTCTTTGAGTTGCCCGATCATGTGATAGTAATAGGGAGAAAGGGGGATGGCCGGGGAATATCTTGGATGTGAAGATACTCGAAACGCATGTCTTGAATAATTACCATTGTTTTACGATCTGTATGAGACCGAGCAATGTGACGTTCACAAACACGTCACTTCGACTTGATTGCAGGTTGAAGACTATTTTCTAGGATATCTGAAAACGATGCATTCGTGAGTGTTACTCCAGTGTGTAAGACTTGTTGATCCCAGAAGAAGGAAGCACATCTTACTGGCTGATGGATGGGTCCTGAAAGTATTGGGTTTTGCCGAGAGGGTGTGGTACCATTTCTTGGCTGCAATTTTAGTTCGATTCCCAGGCAATACCTAAGTGTCACATACGTACATACTACAGTTATTATATCTGGGTTTCCCACGAGGGCACCTCAGCGCATCTTTCAATGCTTTGTACATGCATCTGAATCATTGGCAGTGATATCTGACGGAGCTGGAAGCGAGCACTTTCGGCGCTGCGTCTGCAGTGGCAAGCGTTGACCCCGAGTCTGGGAAGTCTCGGCCGCGCCGCTTTCCATCCAATCGTCTGTTCTGGAAGCTGTTGAATCTGTTAATTCAATTGCACAACCCAGTTCTTCATACCCTAACGCATTGCACGTAGCAAAAAATTCAGTTAAATCAGAATGAAATGCTTCTCCGCGGAGCGTAGACGTGTCTCCGCAACACAAAGATTTTATTGCCTTTGTGCAAATGGAAGTTCTACTTTAGTCAATTTTGGCACTATCATCGCTGGCATGTTATTTTAATGGGTATTTTAATAGTGTAATCGCAGAGCACACCAAATGTAATATTAATATTGGGATTTCCATAATAAGTCACAAACTGTGCCTATTCACCCAGGCATGAACTGAAAATCTGTGGCGTGCACTAACTGCTGTGTTCGCCAACGAAATTTTCTCGTGCGTGAGCAGAAACCCTGATATGTTCTTAAGAGCATATAATAACGGCCTGCTAACTATGATCTTCACCTCTCCGTGCGGGCAATCCCCACCAGTCAGCTGGTCTAAAAGATATCAACGCTTCGAGTCTCATTATATACGTAAAGTGAATGTGTCTCTCTTTCACAGATGCTGGTGCATTTGAAGTGAATAAATGGCATACGTACTACCACATTTGTGCGTGTGATTATTGTACGCAGGATTCCACATGCAGTGCCTGGTGTGCAGGTCCATGATCAATGACGAGAACATTAGCAACTTCATATTGAACACGAAGTGTTTATCTTAATATCACTTCCTCCTTATATCTACTCACAACTGCAAGTTCACTCCATGTTGCCGTTCCTCGTTCCACCCCATGCGAAATACATATTCACATTACAACAACCAAAGGTTTCTTAAAAGTTCCTAAAGACCTTACAATAAACTCTCACATCAATTGTATTATAGTAAAAGATTTTAGATACATATCTAGCCGGCATCTTCACTATAAAGACGCATGTTACTTCTGACATGACTGTATACAACAAATGAAAGAAGTCATTATTTATATTCAGAGGAAAATCGATGCAAACAACACACACAAAAGGTAAATCATCTAACCAAAGAAAATATATACAAGCCAATTTTTAACAAACAAAACATAAGGCAATGATTTTGTATGAATAAGGGAAAAACAAGAAAGGGTTCAATGAAAACATGCAACATCACAAAGCACAAAAACACTCGCCACTTCTAAAATTGAAACACAGCACTGATTTACTTGCCTTCCAATACAGGATGCAATCCTTTTTTTGTTGAGGGTTTTTTGATAGAAGAATTACTTTTGGATTTGGGGTTGTGAGAGAAGACGAACTCAGAAATAAGGCTAACCGAACAAAAGAGAAGATTCATAAGATTTTCAAAGATATACCAAAGAAGAACGTTTTTTGTGAAATGTGTCAAGAAAGTTATCTCACGGATGGATTAGCTCTGTGTTTAATTTTTTTAAATCAAAAATTTCCAAGAAGATAACAATAGAAAAATATTTTCAAGCATATTTCACTGAATTGCATGTCCAGAACCTCTATCAAAACTTGTATAGAGCATACTACAAGAGATAATCTATGAATTATTTTTGTCTCCCAAAATGTACGTACAACACTAATAATAGTAATAACAACATAAATAATAATAATAATAATAATAATAATAATAATAATAATAGTAATAAAGATCATAAAAATCTATTCAACTGAAAATTTTCAAGTCGGTAAAACCAAAAGATAATCAAATTATTGAAATAAAAACTTGTTTGAAGAATGATATATGATATAAAGACTTCTGATACATATTTACATTTTTTAGGGAGAGGATAAAAATTTATTTTAACTAATAATATATTTTACAGTATTGGATTTAAAAAAGTATATAATCTTTTTAATATCACATTATTTCATATAAAACTAAAACAAAATCCTCATGATCACTAATCTCTGAGCCCATTCTGTATTCTGTAATGCCATAAAAACAAATTCACTGAAATAGAACACATACCTTGCAGCCTCTTCTGGAGTTATATCAGCTTTCCAGCCTCCTTCATCCTTCAAGCAAGCCATTGCCTCACAAAAATTAGCACCAATTTCTTTTAAGTGGATTGTATCCAGATGATAACCCTATTTAAAAATAGAAAGAGTGAATACTTTAGAAAGAATATAAGCGGTACAAAAGAACAAAGCCTTTTTTTGCAAGAATAATAACTTGGATCATTCAAACTAGTAATTTCTAAGGCCAAGCTTTGAAGATTTTTGACATGCCAGCAACCAGTCTCCTCAGCACCGCCGGCCTCTAAAATTGCAACCGCACAATTGAGAAGAACCTACTCTGGAGCAACCGGTCAGAGTCTTCTCCTATGTACCATATACAAACTACACCTCTATCTTTCCGTATTTCCATAACCACTTCCACCGAAATACTCGAGATTTCGAGAATTCCGGAAAAACTGAGCATCTGATGGGAAATTTATTATCACCAGTGTATTCTCCATTATATTTCGTGCTAGGATCCTGCTTTTCTGGAAAAATCTTACCGCATGTTTGAAATTCGCAAATTTGACAGGCTCACGGGTGTTAAATCTTACATCTGTTCTACTTGGACTTACCTACAATCTTGCGCAGCTGCCATGCTTAATTTTTCAAACCAACAAAAGGAATAGACAATATTGCGTTTATGTCGTCTGGTAGAGTACCATTTATAGCATTCTCCCTAAGTAAAATTAAAGAAAAAATTTTTGAGCCGGTATAATTGAAAACTAAGGCATTTCAACGAAATGTGCTTGTGACAACGAACATATTTTTTAATCATTTTTAAACGGCTACCGAGGTCCAAAATTGAATCAAAACATTTTGTGCAGTTTTTAAGAAACAATTGTTTACAGAAAATAAACGCTGGCTATATTGGAGCCAATTTTTTTCAAACATACTCATATTTCATAAAATAGGACATGATATTAATTAAAGCTTTATTTTTTGATCAAACACATTCATATTAAAACATTTATACAACTTAGCAATTTATAAATAACGTGCAATCTACAAACATTCTTCTTAAGCATTATATACTTTATGGCAGATGCGCACCGATTTCTTAATTATTGCATACGATATCGGCCGATCAAAAATTAAACAAATTGTTGGCGCCGTCGTTAAAAATCAACAAAACTTTATGCAAAGAAACTTAAGCCAAAAAATTACAATAATATTTGCAAATTACTTTTAGATCTCCCAGGCAGAGGGCCATACATTTTTTCCAGTTGGCAATAAATTGGTACATTAAACTCTGTCACCTTTGCCCGCAAAAGTCCGAAGAGGGGCAGCGTAATGTATTCCCTCACGAAAATAACGACGCCAACAAAGGGCTTTTCTAGCAAATGAATGTTAAAAATTAATTTTAGCATGTTCTACTGTTTAAATTGCGGTATAAATTAGTCCTGCTAAAACCATTTTTTTTTCTTTTATAGCGAAGTTAGCCCGACGATAATTGCCAGTACTGGAATTCAAGGAAGAAGCCTACTATACTACACGCTTTTACTTGTTATTTCCTTCGTGTACCTGGGAAAAGGAAAATCGTTTGGAAGGAACAATGGTACACACTTTTCTGAAGAGCAATCAGAATATTATAACTTCTCTTTAGCATTAGGAAGTAGCCGGGCTGATCATAGCAGACGACGGGTTGCCAGGAGCCCGCTTATTAATACTCTGCTTTACCTAATACATTGACCTTTAAAATTGACATTTATAGTTGACGTACGATTTTTAAACAAAAACAGCACTTGGTATGGTTACTCAGTCTATAAATCAAGGAATATTGTCGACCTTTGAAAGTTTTTATACATAAAATATTTTGAGTCAAATGTATTGAAGCTGAAGGGAGAAATTTTCTATGATATTAGAGTTAATTGCCGAAGAACAAATAAAGTTGCATCCTTAATTTTTGCTAACCATAAACAAATATGACATTGCAGATCTAGGTGTAAATAACAGTGTTCATAGGATATCTTATTTGAGATTTCACCTCCATAATAAAATTGCAAAAATTGCAATTTGTTTACTATAAAAAAAAACATTCCATTTAAATTATTATACCTAAAACACAACATAGTCCCAAGTGCAGTCTAAATTTCCAAAATTTAAATTTTGACTGGAAACGAGTTTAAAAAAAATCATAAATTAACGCTTAAAGTGATTAAATTTGCACCAGGTTTTTTTAATTGTTTATAGTTTGAGCACGAAAATTATTTATTTTGTTGCAGTATTAGTACGCATTATGGTTAGAAAGAATATAGAACTAGTTTTAAATTGGAATGTGGTTCTGCGAAGGGGATGCAGTGGCGGACACTTTTGTTAGAGCGCTCGGCAATTTTTCGTGTTTTTAGACTGAATATTCTCAGTTGCGGACTAGATAACATTTTGAAATTTATCTATAATGTAAAAATTCATTATAGTGTTAAAACTGCGTTGTGATATTTCAACTTTGCCAAGATTGACTTAAAAATTCGTTTTTAAAAACTCGTGAAATTCACGAGAAAAGTGCTTTATTGGCACCGGTTTTTCAGTTGTTTAATAGTGAGACCAAAATTATTTATTTTTGGGTTGTGAGTATTGCTCATACTGTTAGTAAGGATATAGACAGTTTAAAATTGGAATTTCTGCGAAAGGGGATGCAGTGGCGGACACTTTTGTTTAGAGCATCGCCAATTTTCCGTGTTTTTAGATGTAATATCACAGTTGCGGGACTAGATAAAATGTTGAAATAATTACATGTAGAAGTTCACTATGATGTTAATCTGCATTAAATTCAACCTTTTAAACTTCGACTCTAAATATGTTTTAAAAAATCAGAAAATTGTGTGTGAAAAGTGCTTCATTGGCCACCGGTTTTTTAATTTGTTATAGTTGAGTACAAAATTTTTAAAAAGGGTAGAAAATTAGTACATAATTAGTAGATAATGTTAGGCTAGTTGATTTTGAATTTATGAGAAGTGGGGTGCTTAACTTAACGTCAAGCTAGCACCCCAACTTTTGGATGTGGTTTGTTTATAGTCGAGTACAAAATTTTTAATTGTGGTAGAAAATTAGTACATAATTAGTACAAAATTACAGGCTAGTTAATTTTGAATTTCGAACAAGTGGGGGGTTGCAACTTGACGGAGGTGGCGCTCTGGAAGGTCCCTGAATCTTTAAATGGCAACGAAGGAGCAGTGTGCCAACTGACTAGTGCTCCAACAGTACATACTTTCTCGCTTGTTTCTAAATTTTTAATTTTCGAAAATTTAGAGTTCAACGAAACTAAGGCCTGCGTCATTCTTTTAAGCGTTCCTCGTTCTATTTGTGGAAATAATTCGGAACGTTTTTTTTGTTTTTTTGAGAAAATATCCTTTTTATAAATTCTATAAATTTCAGCCTGAAATTGTTCGAAAACTTCTCGTTTGTAGCAAAAAAAAAAAAAAAAAATGGACACGACCTTTTTTAAAAGAGCTGGTATTTTACAACAGACGTCAAACGCAAAAACCTCTAATGAACACACTATGGAGAACAAATTTTATTTGAAGGAAAAATCTCTATCTTCAATATAAGTAGGAAGACGTATATGAGTAGCAAAACGCCCCAAAAATTTTGAAATTTTAAAATTTTCGAAAGTTTAGTGTTAAACCTGAAAAATGGACATATGCCATCTTTATAAATGAATTTTACTGGTTTCTTACAAGAAATTTAAAGAAATTTTGAGCAGTTTTTGAGAAAATTTTGAAAATGTCCAGAGGGCTTCATTTAAAATACCCCCAAATTTTAAAGAACGTTTTTAAAAATCTAAAACCTTTGACTCGACCCAGTTGGACAGGGGTTTCGTCAATGGTTATGGTATATGCATATGGTAATACGAGTACGTATGGTTTAAGTGCTAGACGTGTTCACGGACGGACAGACGGACGTTTTGAAAAGAACCACTGGCCACCACTTTTCTGCATCTCGGCACCCCAAAAGGTGTATTTCCGTTGAAATTTCGAAAGCGATTTTCCACAGCATTACATAACTTTCCCTATACGAATACGGAAAAGTAAAAATGGAGTGGTTTTTGAGAAAAAATGTTTTAATAAAATTAACTTCCTTAATAATTTATTCGGCCAGGTAATAGTCAGTTCTTAAATACACATTTACTGGTCAGGGCAAGAGAATATGGAAGGATTCAGATATTGATGTGTAACACGAGGGACTGGGAAAACTCTCCATACCACAAACGCTACAGAAAACATCCTACAATAATTTCTCTTTGCTACTCACGCAGTAAGGCGAGAAAGTAAAAAAAAATGTTGAAACAATGAAATTATTTAAAGGTATTTTCGTTTGAACATTATAAAATAAACAATTATAAACATGTTAAGTTCATGTTCTTTTTTCAGTTCATTCGTTTTGTTAATTTTTATTTCAAAGCTGCAATGTATTGTACATACAAGCTATGTATGTTATGTATGCTAAAGTACTTGATTTACAGAATTCAATTTTTAAAATTCATTTCATTCAAACGTTATGTTAGTCACTATGGAGTCACCCCACTGACAAAAAATTATGCTATTTACGTGTGGTAAAATTGACATTTTATTTTGCGAGAAAGAAAATGTTGCTATACGAGGTCGAGTGCCACAATCCTAGGAGCAAAATAAAATCATATTTACCACGTGTGTCACAATATATTTTTGATTGCCTTAGTGACACTCGTTTTATTTTAATTTAAGCATGCATATAAATCACTTACATTACGGTCAGTAGCAGCTGATGCAATCAAAAGAATTTATTTTTTTCTCTTTGTTGTATTCACAATTTTATCTGAACATTTGACTTTCATCTCACTTTTAGCACTAGTGCTAAAAATTAAATTTTTGGCACGCCTTGCATGATATTAAAGTAACGCCTTTGTACTAGGGACTGTCTAAAATATAAATTTTTACATTTCCTAAAACCATGTTAATGGTTAATACGGAATGATATTTGTTTTTTTTTTCTCGTATACAAAGAGCACTAGGGCATACTTGGTAGAAGCCTTGGTCGCAACCGCAGAAGCTGCTCTCCATGGTGTAGCTGCGCTTCACTCCGAACTCGCGCCAAATGGTGACGCGCGCAGTTGCTTCACGCATGCGTTCAACACGGAAGTTGCAAGCCTGCAGGTTGAAGGCCTTCGAAAAATGCTGCATCAGGTACGGAAGCATCTGAAAGGTAAAGAGGATGATAATTACATTTCTTTAATGCTACCTAATACAAATTAAAAACTAAAAACGCATTGGTTAGATACTGGACTACGTTTTGGAAAGTTTCCCTTTTATTAACAAAATATAATTTTGTGATTAAGCGGCGTTAATGAACGTTCTTTCTCGTCCTTACGAATATAAGAAGAGAAAATATTGTAATCGTGCGTCGGAAAACGGAAATTAGCGCGAGAAAAACTCTTATTATCGGGCACTGGTAAGGAAAAAGTAGATAAATGTTGGAGATCCGGATCGAAGGACCTAAGTTAGAGTCTCGTTGCGAACTTTTTTTTTTAGGTTGAAAACACATTTGCAGGTTTATATAGTAGTATATATAACAGAGTAGTCAGAAATGATGCTTCTGTAGCACCACTAGTTTAGAACAGGCTGCAGTTTTTTGATCCATCAATATTGTACTTTTGCAATGTTAATTTTTTACAATTTCGAAAATACAGAAGTTTGACGAATAGGGGACTAGGGCAGTTTTCTTTACAATTTTGTTACATTCGAGAGAAAAAAATAAAGAAAAACACTGGAATCGTATTTGGAAAAATAATTATTTCAAAATTGCTTATATTTCACGCAGTAACTACTCACATTTTTCAAACATTTAACATATTATTTCATAGTCTGTTTTTGATTAACATATTTGATTAAGGAAAACGTCTATCACTATTGTAGTTGTAGGATGACTCAAACAAATTTTGGATTTTTTTCAATTTTCAAAAATTACAGATGACGAAAATGTAACCTATGCCATTTCTTTAAGGGTCTATTGTTCTATCAAAGAGAGAAAAAAAAACTAGTGGTGCTACAGAATGACACAGACTTTCTCGAAAGTTTTCTATGTTCTTTGGCGTAGGCTAGCTATTCGAACTTGCCACATACTTTTTGCAACTGCTATTTATACATACACACACATACACACACACACACACACACACATATATATATATATATATATATATATATATATATATATAATTATATATGTAATTATATTTTTTCGTTTCCTAATAGTAGAAAGGAAATATTACTTCAAGAATGTTAAAGAATAGCAAAAACTCGTCGGCGATGGCAATTTTCATTAAAAAATTTGGAGCCGTATTTAAGAAAATGGCGTTTAAGCGTTACTCTAAATGCGAAATTTGATGCTCGTTTTCACAGAAAATGTTTGGGTATTCGCAAAACGTATATAAAAATCATTTGAAGCACTTTCGCTCAATGAAATAGTGTTACAAATCCCCGGAAATGTGCATAGAAATGGTGTGATAGATATTTCAAAACACTTATATTTCTGTTTCCTTTTGAAAAACAAACAAAAGAATACCCCAAAATGCATTTTATATCGTATTAAACAGTGTAAATAGCACTATCCCTTTTGAAAGTTTGAAGAAAAAAATTGGAGCCGTTTTTAAGAAAATGCTCATTTTCAAAGAAAATTGTTGAGTTTTCGAGAAACTTTATCCGACATCGTTTAACGCACATATAAATGTAAATATAATCATGTGAACAAATTGCCGCAAATATAAATTTTAACTACGAGAGCCAAGTCAAAAAATTATATTTTTGTAATTTGTAAAAAAACTAAAGAATAGAGCAATATGGTGTCTGTGTCTTATTATAGAGTACATTTAGCAGCACCCCTACTAAAACTTAACAGAAAAAAAATTGGAGCCGTTTTTGAGAAAATGGTGTTTTTGTAATTATTTAAATTGCACATATTGCCCGCAATATTGCGCGAAAACTACCAAAATGTTCAAAAAATGCACAGGGCCTTAATAAAAGAACTCACTGTGGAGAACAAAATTGATTTTAAGAAAAATTTCTATCTTCAATTTTATAGTTGTAGGGAGACGCCCGAAAAAATGTGAAAGTTTGGAAAAATAGGTAAACCTGAAAATCGGACGTATGCCACCTTTATAAGTGTATTTTACTCTATTCTTACAAGACATTTAAAGAAAAAATTTGGAATCTTTTTGAGAAAAAATTGAAAATGTCCGGGGAATTTTATGTAAAGTACCCCTAAATTGTGAAGTTTTTTTCAAAATTTCAAAGCTTCAGCTCGAACGCGATGGACAGGGGTTTCTTCAATTTGGAAAGAATCCTACGTATGGTTTAGACGCTAGAGGTGTTCACTGACGGACGCACAGGCGGACGGTCAGACGGATGGACGTTTTGAAGAAAACACTTTTTCGGTATCAGGGGACCCCAAAATGTGTATTTCCGCTGAAATCTCGAAATTTATATTCCCCGGTATTACATAGTTTTCCCTGTACTACATACAATACTTCGTATATACACGTACACGGAAAAATAAAAAAATTGGAGCCATTCTTTAAACTGTACTAGGGGCTTTATACACAGTACCCCCAAAATCGAAATACCTGTTTGAAATTATATCCATGGGGTCGCGACATTGATCAATTGGGGAATAACAATTCTGGTGAATATCCTACTTACGGTTTACCCGTTAGGGCAGAAGGATGAATTTTTTGCCGTCAATCAATTTTTTGGGATCAAGGACTAACGAAACTTGGTTATGAGTACAAAATGTGTTAGAGAAAGTAATTTACATACAATGTTTAACCCTTATTTCTTTACCAGGCCTCGGCAATAAGTTTTTCTATCGAAAAATCGTAGTTTTCCTCCGCAGCATTACAATACATCCTCTATTCTGCGTTAATCATTTCCGACTTTACAAATGAAAGAACAGAAATAAATTTAACTGAAACAGCATTTTCAACACATAATGTTGAAAAGTAATAATAATTTCACACAAGCATGCTCTGATTCTACTGAAGTGAGCTTTCAGTTTTTGAATACCTTAACCTGCTATCAAAATTTCTTTCATAAAAGATATGAATGTTTTTCTTCTAAGTTAAATTTATTACCTTTATTCAAACTATTATCTTTCATAAGACTAGTATCTTCGTAATGCAGCAATTGCGACTGACAGCGATTGAACGAATTCGAAGAATCTTGAAACCAATATCTTGCCATTTTGCGAAATTATAACGCGTCAAAAGAAGTCGTTGTCACATGAGATGTTGGTAGCAACAAAGCCCGCTATATCCTTTCATTTGTGCTGCCAACTCTCCTTTTGTACACCAACAGTTTTTGTAAAACTCATTACAAATCGTACAACATTTGGTTCGAAAACTAAATATTGTCACGCAAAAATCAACACAAATTAAACGACTACAGCTACATCGTGCCCCAACAAAAAGACAATTCATAGAAATTCTGCAGCTGATTCGCGGCACGGAATGTCATTATTGGATTCCTATCTGATATTTCCTGAAGGCTAGCAATTATTAATCAATATCTTTCACATAGGAATTCAATAATTTCTAAAAAATAATGTGTCTGACTACCCGGTATTATGTTCACGAAACACAATAAATTCGAAGCGGCAAATATGTCGCCGAATTACACAAAAAAGTCATATTTTTAAACAATTCAACCTTAATTGAAGATCTGTTTTGATAACCACATTCCATTAAGAAAAAAGAATGCCTATTACCATATTACCAATTGTAGGAAACGAATTTTAATTTTTTTTTACATTTTCGAAAAATGAGACATTTTAACGAATATGAAACCTGCACTATTCCCTGAAGGGTTCTATACGCTACTTAAGGTGAAAATTTAATACAAAACCAGCGGGCCATTTTTAAGAAGAAATGGATTAAAGAAAATAAAACTGCCTTTTTCACATAAAATTTAATGTTTCTGAAAAATTAAACATTGCATTATTTTTAGAGATGTTTTTAATGAACAAAACTCATTAAGATACTAGTGGTGCTGGAGAACGGCACAGTCTTTCCCGCATTAGTTTTCTATTTCCTTTTTTCTCAGCTAGCTATTCGAATATAATCTTGCCACATAATCTTGTCAGCTGCCATCTATCGCCACCCAAAGTACATTTTTGTAAACAAATATTCTTAATTTTTCTGTTTCCTAATAGTAGAACTGAAATATTATTATAATAATGATAAATAACAGTAAAACCTCGTAAATAGCAATTTTCTTCGAAAAATTTGCAGCCGTCTTTAAGAAAATGGCGATTAAACGCGATTAATCTCTACATTTGAAGCTCTTTTTCACAAAAAATGTTTGAGTTTTCGAAAAATTTAATTAGAAGTAGTTTGAAGCATATTAACTCACAAATATAATAGTGTTTAGTAATTGCTGGAAATGTGCATATTAATGGCGTGAGCGATCTTACAAAAAACATTACATTTCTGTAATTTAAAAAAAACAAAAGTACCCAAAATGAATTTTACGTCATATTAGAGTGCAATTAGTACTATCAGTTCGAAAAGTTTGAAGAAACAATTTGGAGCAATTCATGAGACAATGGCGATTTACCATTTCTGAAAATGTGGAATTTTGAGCCAGTTTTCACAGAAAACTGTTGAGTTTTCAAGAAACTGTACTTGACATTATTTAAAGCACTTGAAGCTATAAATATAATAATGCGAACAAATTGCCGCTAATGTAAATATAAATGACGTGAGAGACAAGCTAAAACAAATATTTTTGTAAATTTTGAAGAAAAATAACAAAAGAATAAATCAATATGGTGATTATGACATTTTGTAGGGTGCATTTAGCACTACCCCTACCAAGAGCTTAAAGAAAAAATTTGGAGCCGTTTTTGAGAAAATCCTGTTTTCGTTGTTATTTTAAAAATTGCTCATATTGCACGCATTATTGCACGAAAACTACTCAAAGTTTCAAAAAATGTACATGACATTAATGAAGTAACTGATAATGGAAAACAAATTTTATTTGCAGGGAAAAAATCTTATCTTCAATTTTGTAGTTGTAGGAAGACGCACAAAATTCAAAGCTTTGCAATTTTTGAAAATTCAGAGTTATCAGTGAAAATATGACCTATGCCATCTTTATAAGTGTATTTCACTCGATTGTTCCAAGAAAAATAAGAACAAAAAAGGAGCCGTTTTTAAGAAAGTTTTGAAAATGTCCGGGTGATTCATGTCAAGTACCCCCATATTTTTTAGAATGTTCGTAGCACCTTGAGTAGAACCAAATCGACCGGGGAATATTCATTTTGGAAAAAAATCGTACATGTGGTTTAGGCGCCAGTTGTGTTCACAGACAGTAGGACTGATGTTTTGCGGGCAATTGGCTTTTCGTTATCAAGGACCCATAAAACAGGGATTCTGGTTACACCAAGTGTTAGAGGATTTTTTCCTTAATTTAGCAACTGAATTTATCCATTTTTTCGTTACTTGGGCCCGCAATGAATTTTTTCATCCGAAAATCCGCCGTTTTTTCACGCATTACATAACTTTCCCTATGATATTACTCCGTATGTACATATTTGTATAAGGAAAAGTAAAAATTGTTTATCTTTATAATTGTAATTGTACGAAGGAGCCAAAAAATTGATTTCTTTTCAATTTTCGAAAAAACTTGTTTTTTAACGGACATAAGTCCTCCTAATCGTCGTTCTCCCTATCTAATATCGAAGTTTAATCGAAATCATTGGAGATATTTTTTTGAAAATTTTGAAAATGTCCTATGGAGTTCCTGTAAAGTACCCTCAAAACTAAAATAACCAGTTTCAAATTCAATTTCAAATTCAAGTACCACCAGCTAGATCGATTGAGGAATATCAATTTTGGAGAATAAAGCTGAATGGTTTAGCCGGTAGCTTTGTTCACAGACGGACAGACGGACGGACTGACAAACGTTTTGCCGTCAAGCTATTTTTGGGTATCAAGTACCCACAAAACATGGATTCTGGCTACATCATGGGTTAGAGGATTTCCCCCCTAAATTTATAAACTGGATTTATCCACATTTTCGTTAACAGGTCCCTATAATAAGAGTTTTTCTGTTAAAAATTCGCCTTTTTATCGCAGAATTACATAACCTCCCAACTACCACAACAAGAAAGATTGCTGAAGAGTAACTAACGTAGAATTTGTTTTTACTATTAATTATTATTATTATTATTATTATTATTATTAATTATATTGTAGTAGTTTGTGTAGTATAAGAAACATTTGGCTGAATTTGATCACTAAGCTGACGATAAGGCCCGAAAACTCCAAGACTCCCCAAATTATAATATTACGTAATTGTTACGAATATTACGAGAGAGTATGTACCGGTGTAGCACCATTAGTTTGACATACATTTTAAATTTTCTGACGAAAATCGACACTTTTCCTACAGCATTACAATACTTAATACGTGATAGTACTCGAGAACGGAAAACAATGGCGGGTTCACAAGGGAGGGAAGGGAGAAATATGAACCTCATGTATTATGATTTTTCTTACCGCTTCTTCCTACTGACCAATCATAAACTGTGACTCTTCTATCTTAGGTGGCGGTATACTACATCCACCGCAGTGTCGCATGTGATTTTCACATGGATGTCAGTTATTTTAAATATTTGGCGCATTTTGGAACTCTATTGGACATACGTTTAGTCGTGGAATAGTCCTACAAAATACCCCTCGTGCTTTGGAAATTCTCAGATAAATCCTCTCCTCGCTTGGCGAGTAGGGAATTTATCGACACTTTTCACAGTACCTATGATAATCTATTTCGATACTCACGGTCTAAATCGTGCCGCTAAACCTGCCCAGCTGCAATGTGAAACTAAATAATGGAAACGAAACCAGGGTTGAATGCGAGAGCAAGCAGTGGATTACAATAACCTCAATAACTCACATGTCCACCGCTAGTAACGTAGGAGTGTAATCCGGCAAAATGTAGAAAGTCACAAAATTTAAATTGCTATTCATCTTTAATGCTAAAAGCAAACATATTTTTGTACCTACCTACTTCTTACAATAATTTGCACTGTAACTTACCAAATAATCCACAGGATCATCCGAATTAGATCTGTCTACTTGATTCCAACTGCCAGCATTGCAGCATCCATATAAAAAGACATTCTTGCGTCTTGAGTGACCATGGTAATCACAAAACATGAAGGGTGCTTTATTCATAATCCGTGCACAGTACTCAATAAGCCCCTGCAAATCACAAAAGAAAGGGAGTGTTAGATGGCAAGCAAACATGCAAAAACTATTTATGTATCAAATGTTTCAGTGCATTTTGTGTTACTACTATCCGTTCCAATATGGTTTCAATTTCGAAAATTATTGAGAGCTCCGCTTCCAGGTCATATTTCAATAAACTATGAATGTTATTTCTTCTGAACTCTTATATACTGATATACACTTATATGTAATGAGTTGTAACTTAAAATTAGGTGAAGTAACGAAACAAAAACAATTTACAGCCTAAAAGCCAACTTTTTGGCCCTTTACTCAGCTTTCTTCAGGGCTTTTATTACTACTTCAACTAATTTTCTAGATCCATTAGCATAAAATTAGACTTTATAGTGATTGTATAAACACAACTAATTCTCATTCACATTAGCCCACGAAAGATTTTTTTTCTTGTTTTGTTTTATTCAATGTATCACATGTATTCCAGACACTCAATTATTCTTGCCACGTGATAGTGTGTACATTAGTCCGAGAGTGTACATTACTCCGAGAGTAAATAGTTCCGACAGACCTCAATTACATTTCCTTGTGGCTCTGAGGCTAACAGTCTGCTAACTCAGCAAAAATTACGTCCGACCTATTAAACTTTGTATTTGACTTACACGCAGAAACTTTTTCAGGGGACTCATTCCAAAGAAACATTACTGATCTAACCGCCGAAGTTCTCTATGAATCAAAAAGTCGTTAAAAACAATCTACGCGCACCTTTATTCTAATATTTCTCATAATCTTCAGCCTTAGGGGTAGTAGTTTTCACATAAATCTAAAAAACGTATTGGTATGATGTTGTAATTTCATATATTGTATGGTTATTGTGATGTTTTCTTATAAAGTAAGTAATCATTGCTCATGTATTTTAGGCAATCCAATGGAAAGCAGAATAAATAAGGTAGCAAATGGCTTTTGGAGCTTTGAAAGACTATCTCTGAAAGTTTGGGAATATAATTCCAACAAAAATAAGCAGAAAAGAGAGACTACGCATAAATGGTAAGATTATATATGCATGAGGGCGAGAAAAATTGATCAAGAAGCATGGAGGTGAAAGAATTTGCGATTGACCGCGATGCGAAACTGTAAAATATCGATACTATATATCGTCGTTCAGCCTGTTAAAGATTCTATTACCGAGTTTTCTTCCTTTCCTCTCGTAAGATTAATTAAATTATACTATACCTTAGAATGATAGATGACAGGATGCAAATACTGGTTAGGTCTGCTCCAACGGCGATTTAGGTCTTCATCAGAGAGGCCACATCGGTGACTGAAAAGAAAATGAGAATGGCATTAAAACCAAAATTATTCACGAGACGTACGTTTAAAAACATCGTAACACAGGATTTCAAGTTCCATCTACAGTTTGTGTTAGTATTTAGCCATTATATATCCCGTATAGCGTCTCCGTCTTCGTCTTTCTCCATCTCTGTCCCTCTCATACACATTTAGTTGGAGATTCTGCACATCACTTTTTAGCAGGTGGAGTAATATCGAGAAGCGCCAGACCAGCAAAAATGAAGTAGAATGTTCAAGAAGATCTCATCCTAGATTAGGGTGTGCGTAATTTATATTATATTATATTATATATTATATTATATATTATATTATATATTATATTATATTATATATTATTTATATTATATTATATTATATTATATTATATTATATTATTTATAATGTATATTATCTCTGATTTTTGGTCACATCTTCGCTGCGAATTGCAGAATAACTATAAAAATATCGGAAAATTTTACTAGATGGAGCGCTGTAGAACAAAACTATTCGCGTCAAATGCAACCCGCAATACACTCGGCGAAATTTTGTGAATCTCTATCGTTTAATAATTCCCAAACGAAGCGTAATAGGAATTTAACAACTAACATTTTGAAACTTTTTGAATATTTTATTATATTTATGCTGGGGATGGGGGAGAGGGGGGAGTAGACCAAGAGAGATAAAGGGAGATGCAGGGCAGAACAACATCTGCCGGTTTCCGCTAGTTTCTAATAAACACGGAAATCGAAAGGAAACAGCCCAGTGTTTGGGAGAGATGTCTGAATTTGTTATTCATTAAATACCTAGGAGCTCGGGGAAAATCCAAAAATAATAAGAGTGTTTCGATTTTGACAAAAAAACGCGAATACTTCAAGGTGCATTTCGTCCTAGCCCCATACCGCGCGTTCTGACTGAATTCTCACTAGGGGAGTCACTATTGCCACACAAATACATGCATGCAAAAAAGCAAAGTTCAAAGAAAGAAGCCGAATGCTACATAATATTTTCTATTCACGTATTGCGTTATGGAACAACATTTTACTTTCTCTTATACGTACTACGTGTATACTGAGAAATATACAATTTAGTCGTAACTGTTAATTTTTGAAAACATTTGCAGTGTTAGCGGAATTTTGAATGAAATATGGGCAATATTATAAACATGTAAGGAAATTTTTTCTCAAAAACAGCACCAAGTTTGTTCATTGAACATTTTCTACGGATAGTGGTAAATGCTCTGAATAACATGATTTAAATGTTTTTATAATTTTCCAGAAATTACACAAAAGTATATTTTTATATCTCTCACGTCGTTAATTTTCGCCCATCGAAAGATCGCATAATGGCGGCCGAAACATTTGCACCTGTGCCTAGGGTAATGAGTCTCCCGGAGAATAAAATAGTTACTTTGAGCTCAAAATTGCGCATTTTTAAAGAAGCTCAACTGCCATTTTCTTGAAAACGGCTCCAAAAGGTTTCTTTGCAATGTGTACGGATAGTCCTAAAAGCAGTGAATAACTGACTTTTTTGCTTTAAAAAAATACTCAAATGTAGGCAACAATCAAAGTAAATAAAGCACATCATTACATGGAACAAGGCTATACTATTCAAAAAAGTTTGTAGATACCGCAGGTACTAACCTAGTTTTCTGGACGTACGTACTATTACAATAGCGCTTGAATAAATGATATCGGAGATAACTTCTCTGAGTTAATTACCACGTCTTCTACACACAAAACATAGCGTTAGCTATTATTGATTAATGTAAACACATGAAATAATACTCAGACAAAAAATACAGAGAAACGAGAAAAGTTTAAGTGACATGAAAAGCTTCAGTGTACTGACTTGGGTGTCACAACTCTTCTAAACGAAGAAAGAGGGTAGATAAAACGCACAGCATTATCTTAACACGAATGTCTCAAAGTTGTTTACCACCTTATAAAGGCTGTGCTTTAAATAGAGAGGATGATCGTTGAAACGGACTGTACTTGGGCCGGCGCAGCATCTGCCCTGCGAGGGCCGGCCGCAAGGGCGCGAGGCGCGGAGCGCAGGTGGCGTCCGGAGGCGGCGTTAGTCACGGCGCCTTCCGGCCGGGGGCCCGGAAGCGGTGCGCCGCGGAGACAATGCCCCGGCGGCGGCCGGCCGGCCGCCTCGCCGGAAGTCGCCGCTGTGCATAATGCATCGCCGTCGCTACCGCCACCCCCTTCCGCCGCCGCCGCCGGCAGCCCTTCCTCGGAATAGGCTTTGGACCAGCCCCGTGCCTCCAGAGACGATTTCCTCGCGCCGTTCCACAAGATCCATCGCGCATTACGTTGCACAGACGCACGTCTCATTGGATGAACGGTTGGCTTTCTGGTTGGCCAAGCTAAACAGCGTGCTTACAATCCTGCCCTATGTGAGTGGATTTTTTAAAGGTAGAACATCCAGAGTTAGCAAGATGCATTGGGGACATAGAAAAGATCGCTGGAAAATGGCCAACAAACTTCCTATCTAAAGACGAATTCCTCCTGGTTTGATCGCATATTAATTAGGTTAGCCAAAAGTGATATATGCAACACAACCGATCTCTATAAGAGAACTGCAAACTTAAAATTTAAAAGTAAATAAGGCAACCTACAACATATCCAAATAAGAACCATCAGTGCATTCCATGTCGAGGGTGACTAGTATCAATGGATATAAAATAATAGATAACGACACGTAACAATTGAAATATTGCGAACGAATGGGCACAGAGAGGATTCGTAGAGAAGAGGCGACGTCGTGGCGATTTCGCCGTCGTGGTTTCGATTAGTTCTCGCGTACACAACGTGAAAAATCTACCCGGTTATCCGTCTAAGTCACTTGACATCACACGGTACTGTCTGCTCTTGTTGGTCGCGCTGTGCAAACACGGGCTGCCGCGAGGATGTGCGTGTCGGGGCGTGGACTTCCGGGCGGAGCGGCGAGCTAGCCTCTACCCCGGCTGGAGTTGCGATGGCGACGCGACGAGAGGGCCAAGGACACTTTGGGCACAAGGTGACCAAAGTGGCAAAATGGTGTGGGGGAGGGGGCTGACGTCTCAAGTCACGGCCACGCGGAGGCGGTGGGGGCGAAGCAGAGAGTGGGAAGAGCAAAGAATAAAGAGAGAGAAGGAGGGAGCGACTGAGACGAATATGTCGACAGAGGCGCCGGCGGCGTCGCATCGCGTGGCGGGGGTTATTGCCTCCTGCTGCTGCTGCTGCTCGGCGCCGCTGGGCTGGGCTGAGCCGAGCCGGGCCGCGGCCCCGGGGCCGGCGCGGCCATCGGCGAACGACCCGTTACGGGCATCGAATGCAGCCCCGCGCCGCCGCCGCCGACTGCCAGGCGGTGAACCGGGATCCATTTAACCAACTATCGGAACCACTCCGTACTCAAACGCCATTGTCATCAATTTACAATCGTGTAATTAAATACGAAGATAACAAGAATAATTAGATCATGCTATGGACGCGACATCCGAATAATTGAATATTAAAAACAATTAAAACTATTTCAGGAGCATTTCTTCACCAATAAGTCCAGTCAAAAATTATATTTCTCGATTATTTCTCTGCTCCCTTCTTTGCTCTGAAGTTGTCTGAATTGATACATTTAGGCACAACAACTTCTACTGTCGATGTTCCCTCATCGTAAGGTGAGATCCGGTGCAGATCTATGCATTGGTTCCCAGAGGATTCTCGCTCCAGGTATCTCCCCCAGAAGGGCACCGTCCCAGCGGGGACAAGCACTAAACTCTCTAAACTCTCGGCATATGTGCTAGTGTAGCGCATGTAGAGATGACACATTTTACCTGAACATCGATATTTTGATACATCACCAAATGGCTTTCAATGTCGATGAAAACATCGATGATTTAAAAACGATAAAACACATGATATTTTCTCATTCTATTTCCATTTTAATTATAGCACATAAATGAGTTATATTTTATTGTTTCGTCACTATAAATAATATGTTAAAAATAACATTTATCGAATATAAAGAAGGAAATAAAAAGAAGATACCATGTTTTGCTATTTTTCCATTTATTCATTTTCATTCATAAATCATCGAAGTAAAACGTCCTGGATATAAAGTGATGCAATTACAAATTCTTACTTTCCAAGGCGAGTATGTTTCACGTTCGATATAATGCCACACGGTTTACAAGTCAAACGTATACATCATTGATTATAATGTTACCTTTTTCAATTTAATTGGTAAAATGTTTTGTGTTCTAGATGTTAATATCTCCATTATTTGTTCTTTTTATTATATTACGACGATGTTTGTTCTAATTGTACCTATTATATTGTAACTATTGTAACTATTCGATATATTTGCGAAAAAAGTGCACAATTATTTTTGCTCTAAGGGATAGGAGTAAATTATACAAATTTCATACCACTTTACGGTTTCTCATGTTCTGAAGGCAATGTGTTCAACATTTCATTAAGGACGGAACGAAAGTGTAGATTTTTTATGAAACAACAAACAAACCTTAATTATATAAACGAGAATAATAGTTTGAAAAAAGAAGTCTAAGTCCAACTAAACACACAATCTTTCAGTGAAAACCGCATCGACATTGATTACGTTGTTCCAGAAATTACCCTCAGGCAACCACAGAGACAGACAGACAAATGTCAAAACGACTGAATTTGTTTTTGTAACTAAATTGACATCTGGGATTATAAAAAGGGAGTTATTTTGAAATCACATATAGGCACTTGAATTTTTTATATAATGATTTTATAATATACTAGCATCTATTTCCTCGCCTATTGTACCCATGCATATCATATAGGGTAACTAGAGGAATAAGTAACACATACCAGACATATAGATGGACAGAGAAGCAGATGAACTGATAGTCACAGTGACAGGGTAAGACGGTCAGAAATTTGTAAAGTGCACTTTTTCGAAGGAAACTTTATAATGTACTCATAAACCATCAATGTGGTCAGTTAGACATTTCGGCCATATATA